TTACCTTCCGCGGGTCGGCCGTGCGCTCAGCCTGTTGGATCAGGTTAGAGTGTGCTCAGATGAAAGAGAGGATTCAATGGACTCACACCGGCTAAATGACTTGGTTCGCCCGTGAGGACAGCGTTTCCAAGAACAAGGTCAGACAAAAACATAATAAATCGTGGCGCAAATACCCGTTCGAGCTGTTAAATGTCTACATCTTTGACCCGCAAAGACGCCTCATATGCTCGTTTTGCTTTAAGATCTGCAAGATGCGATGAGCGGAAGAAGAATGGAATTAATGCACACTGCAACCCATGTCAGTGGGCGTCTTTGTATGTTCATTTATTTTCTGTGGATTTCCGAGCATACTCGACCGCTTCGCTATGCGCTACATGTCCAAGATTGTGTATGTATAGTGGTGCGGTAAGGAATGACATGACCTTTTCACGGAGACGGTCCAAGAAAAATGGCCTGACGGCGGAGTATAGTCTAGGTATCGTCTATCAAATCCTAAGTTTCCAACATCGTCAGCAAATCGCGGAATAAACTCACCGAAAGCCGACTATCGTTGCGACTGATGGCACACGCCAACGGGCGTCGTCTGCGATGTCAGGAGCGCGGCGCGGAGTGCGCGTTCGGCGTTGGGGCGGAGATGCTGTGCATCCGTTGCAGGGGTGGAGAGCGACGACGCAAAGTCAGTGACTTGCTCGCGACGACGCATTAGTCAGGTGCGGGGCAAGACGCGGGCGGGTTCGATTCGGGACGCGCGGATCGGCGGTGGGGATGCGGCGAAAGGGGTGGCGGGTCATGCGGTGGGCGCGACGGACGTGGCCTGGGAACGTGGTTGGGCGCGTCAGAGTATGCGTGCGCGTGGTCGGGACGGCGCATGGAGAGCAGCGGCGCGCAAGTTGAGGGCGCGGTGGGCGGTAGTGGGAAGAAGCACTGGCAAATCGGTGACAGGACATTTTGACGTGTCATCGGGGATTCTGCAAGTTAAGATCAAGTTAGGCAAGACTCAGAGCAAGATTCACGGAAAAAGAGCAACCTGACGCACCAGGGACGTCCCCATCCAATGTCCGTCGACGGCAAGATAGATCTACAGATCTACAGTAAGTCTTCAGTTGCTCGAAGGAAGGTCTCCGCTTGGGCACAAAGCTTCGTATTCAGCCTTAAGCGCTTCCAGCTCAAGGATATAACAACGGCGTGTCGTCGAGAATTGACAGGCCTCGAAGAACCTTGCTTGACTCGGATAAGGCAGAGAGGTCGGAGCTTGCTTGATGGACATGCACAAGAATACGGAGCTGGACGCCATTACGACGGAAGACAACGACTCGGACGCGCCGCTGAGAAGACGACCGGCGCAGCGTTTGCAAAATGTGGAAGAGAAAGGGCCCACGTGCTTCGGCCCCGAAAAGGTTCGGCGATCGCGGGCCGAGCTCCAACTGTCTTTTCACGCCGACCATCAGTATATATTATTCGGGCGTCAGCAGCGCTTCTCAGTCTTTGAGCTACGCTATACAAGTTCTCCTCCCTTCAGCTGTGGCTCCCCCTTCTGCGCCTGGGCTTACTCTTCTAGCCGCCGGATCCATTTGTCGCTGCTCTTCTTGCTTCATGCTTGTACATTACGCTTTTCGCGAAAAATTTCCAGTTCCATCTTAGCGAAGGCGCGGTACTCGGGGACCTGTGGTCTTAGGGAGCTGCACCGGCGTCCTGCGACAAGAACTTTACTCGTACGTGATACTCCCTTGCAACTCGAATCCGCGCCGCATCCCATCTTGCCCTGCTCTCCCTTCAAACTTGCAAGACGATGTCCATTCTAAAAGGAACGCGGGCGAAAGCGGTGTGTCCGCTCATGGACCTATCACGCCGCAGTATCATCTAACCCAATTACCCAACATAGGTCGCGGTTTCACAGCCACTCAATGAGCAGCTCACGTAGATGTCGGGCGCTGATTTCCTCGTCCTCGGCTTCTCATCTCTCGCCCGTATACGAAACACTTCTCTGGCCGTGCTGCCTTCCCGCGACATCTTGGGTGCGTTTCCATCTCTCCTATGCTGGTCTATTTTGACCTCTTCCGGCGCCATTCTACGTTCACGCCCATCGAGCCCGTCCGCCTCCACTTCTCGAAGGTCGGGAGATAGATGGGATGAAGCTAGGTCCAAAGCGAACGATTTCGTCCATTGAAGGTTGTCGGACAGATGTTTCCTGGTGCCTCGGAATCCAGTGCGGAACGCCACAGAACGGGCGGGAAATTTGCGCACGTCGGGACCTATTTTCTGCGTACAGTGAGTGGATGTATGTTGATCCTAAAGACAATATATTGACTACGTCCTGAGTGTATAAGCCGTGAGTTTTAGAGGAGAGCAGAGGAAGTCGGGAGCGATCACCTATATCTGGCCTCGGATCTTCTGAGGCTTGAACGCGAACAGGTAAGACGACCTCCCTAGAGAAGAGAAAGAAACTAGCCTCCTGATAGCGGGACCTACACCCGGCTCGAACGGGATTGTCTGGGTGGATGATCGACGCAGGTTCAGCATTGGCGACGTGTTTCGTGCGCTACACCCGTTATAACTGCCTGTACTGGTGCCTCGATCAGCTGCAGAAGTCAATCTCAGAAGAAACCATGCCGGTACAGTGGATCGTGAATTTATCACATTCCAAGGTCATTGCATCACAAAATCAAAGGTAGGCTCGTTGTTCAAGCGGTTCGGACTTCGGAACCACAGAGGAAGTAGATCAAAAAAAGAAACGACCATTGGGCGCAGCTGCGTTCCGAACGCCACCAAATTAGCCCGACTATCCAGTTAATTTCAGCGCGGCGAGCATGTCACTGCGATATCAGTCCGTCAGACGAGGCGCAGGAGTAAATACTGGATGCGCCAAAATAACTGCGAATCTCAGGCCGACCGCACAAGCCCGCGACCCACTCTCGTTCAGTTCCGGATCGGAGCGAGTGAAGAGCCCAAATAAGCATCTCGGATCATAAATAGGGAAAGGTGAACAACTGTTCACTCATTAGTTTAACTGGAAGCTTGAGATGCACGACCTAAAGTGCCCGCAATTGTCGACGGAGCACCTCAACAAATCGAAGGTCGGCATCTGTTGTGGGAGACTCCCTCTGAAATTCGTATCTTCGTTCACAGCACAATTGTTCATTGAGGTCGTTAGCCGGACAATTGAACGCGGACTCGCCCGCGCTTGTGGAATTTGTCCCGAACTCCAGGTCGAATGAGAAATTCGTTAATTAATATGTCCATGCGTAGATTAACTACCGCCAGGCTTGCGGGCTGTCTGTCCTCACTCGCTGAACCCCTGGCGCCCGCGTTACCCATCCCCGCGCCCACACACAAGGAGCCAATATAGCATATTCGCTTCTGCAAAGCGCGCATCCGGCAGACTGAAATGTGCCATCGCGGTGTGCATCACTCATGGCGTCGACGAACCCGAGCTTGATTAACAAGGTAGAAATCGACAGAGCTTTATTCATCCGCTTGTCAGAATTATCCAAAACACTTAAAATTAAGGGGGGAGACGCACGCGCTGCACCCCTGTGCACCCTGATCATCACCCACCCTGCCCTCCCTCTCCTCAGCTTCTGCGCGCCCGATAGCCGCATTGATGAACGGGCCAACTACCTCTGTGCGCACAAGCGCGGCAATCGCGGAGCTCGAGTCGCGCAGGAGGCGGCCGTGGACGTCGAACGTGGGGAGCGTGGCCGGGAGACCCGCGAGTGCGGACAGGTACGACGCACGCAAGGAAGCCGTGGGTGGCGTGAGCGTGCGGAAGAGCGCGGCGGCGAGCGCAGGGTTGTACACAGCGAGCGAGGTGAGGTCGGGCGGCGCGAAGAGCGCTGACTCGAAGGCCGCGGGCGTGGGGAGCTGGGGCGCCAATTGCTGAGCTGCGTTAGTTTGCGGCCGTAGGAAAATGACGCGAGACGCACGCGCTGCTCAGCAAGTGAGAGAACGCGGGTGCGCGCGGTGAGGAGACGTGTCGCGTGCGCGGTTGCGGCTCGGTGCTCGGGATCCCCCTGCATGATCATGCGTGCGGATTCCAGCGGGTGGGTGGGGGCGGCCATATATGCTATGACATCTCTCCGAAGTTGGATGAATGTGATTAGTAGACGAACAAATCGCATGCAGCATAACCCACCGGATCGTTCAGAGTCAATTGGCCAGCTCTAAAGTTGGGTGGCAGCATTCCAGCGCCATCGGACCGATCTGCAGGATTTTCATCATAAACCAATGAAGTCGTGGCGAAAAAGAGATTCCCGCACATCGTCGCCCTCTCCCTTGAGGAGTTTCCAGAGGGCCCAGACTAGCGGCGCAATGCCGCCATTGCGCACGGCCATAAGGGCATTCTCCCGCTCCTCGACGAACATCGCAACCTGCAAATCTTTGACAACGAGAAGAGAAGGAACGAAGCGGGGATCCGGTCGGTAAGCTGGTGCCACTGGATGTGCCGATTAGGAGTTTTGGAACAGGAAAGTGAGATGTAGGCCCATGCACCTCACACTGCGTCCCGTGTCCTAGCGAGGGCAAATCGCGCTCTGAGTGCCAGCTGGAAAGACGATCGTTGGCCACGTGGTCTCTCGACCGAGTCGGACCGGCGGTCGCCTACGCCCAGCCGGCCATAATCCTCCCTCTTCCCACTCCCTCCCTGCGCTTACCACGCTCCCTAATGTCTCGTCCGCAGCTTTCATTTTTATCGCTCGTTGCAACAAATCCACCCACTATGGTGTAAGTATCTCCTACTCTGACTGGCCCTCAGCATCTCTGGTTGCTGGAATCACGGCGGTTTGTATTTCCCTTGGTGCTTTTATTTTGTCCTTCCGGGAATTACTTTCACTGCCTTAATTCAGTTCACAGCGAGCCATAGCTCTGAAATGTATAGAGTCACTTCTTTGTTGTCAATTGACTCAATATTATGGGGCTATAAACTGCCAGCTTCCGTGAGACGCCTTTGTGATTGAGACCCACTCGTGCCACTGACTGTCAACTTTTGGGAAAGGTAGAGGATTGGACTGGTGGTGTAGTGGTAACACACCCGCTGTCATTACCCTTGTTGTCGACGATTTCAGCGGGAGACCCTTGTTCGAGTCAAGGTCAGGCCATTTAACTTTTGCTCCTTGATCTCATTTGTGTACTATGTTCAAATTGTACTTTCTGTCCTCTGCTGGAGACTATACAGAGTGGACTCGTGGTGCAACGGTAACCACGCGCAGTCAGTGCTACTCGATCAACAGTGATCAGCATCTGAGTTCAACTCGCGATTATGCCATTCTCTTTTACTCGGTTTTTTTTTTTTTGCAACACATCTCTGAATTGGCACTGAAGCTACATTTTCTTTTCCTTTCGTTTTTGGCTGGGATAGTGTCTGAAGATTGAGCGAACATTGTATAACAACAGAAACTGAATTAGAACTCGCGCGCGTCGCATGCCTGTTATTATAAGCCCCGGTACAGAAGACGTCTCCTTCAAAACAAACAGGGCCACGTCTTGATCAAGCACCGTTAGAATTCAATGAGCGATGGAGGAAAAATTAAACACAACGTACATACAAGAAATCGGGCGCAGCACACCTCGACACAGGCCGCGTAAGGTAGCGGCCAAGGAAATTTTCTAATGCAGGACTGCAGGTGCCGCTGGCTGCCGAAACTCTCGGATCCAGCACGAAGAAGCATGTGGAGCAGCCCAAATTCATGTTACGTTCCGGGGCTGAGTCGGGCGAACGGCAGAAACAATATAAATTTGGATCGAGTAGGGAGACATGCAGATGAGGGGCTGCACCGCGAAATCCGACTGAGAATAACGAGGCCATGAGGTGGGGTCATAGACGCACCTAAAATATAACCGCCGTCAATGCAAACAACTGCTCTTCCGTCTTTCCCGTCGTCGTTGTGCGATAACGAGAGCTTAATTATTGCCACTCAGCTTATCGAGGTTCACAGTTTTCGTATGAGTTCAGCCAGGGCGAGTTTTAGTCGCGAGTCGGGTGGGGTCCCTGTCCTTTCGAGGCACATTAATGCATGCTTGCGATGCGTTTGTAGCCGGAGGAGGTATCTTTCAGGGCTGCTGCACTGCGGGTGATGAACACCACACCATTCAACATTCTCCGCGATGCCCGCCTGCGCGAGAAGGATCAACGGAACAAGGTTACTGAACCAACCCGTACGCACCAAGAACTGGGCCGTGAAGGAAACAATGAATGGGCAAGGCCTGTGAGTGGAAGAGTGCAGCGCTTGGTGGCTGCCAGAGCCGCGGTGAAATGGGTCAAATAATAATAACAAAACACACGGGCGAAATCGTCTAGGCGTGCGGATCGTGCGCCTCCGCGGGGTCAACCTGTGAGGTACGAGATCCAGAGACAGCGTAGAGAGACGGCGGATCACCCGTGGCAGCATGAGTATGTTGCTTGCAAGACGGTGCACCGAAATGAGAGGAAAAGGAAACAAACAACGCAGCTGCGAGCTTCCACCGCGGCAGATTGACATAGCGGTTTAAACGCAGATACCTGGCTCCGCCTGTCGTCGCCGCAGCAATGTTAATGCGGCTGGGTAATCGCAGATCCCTAACTCGAGTCCGCGGTTCGCAAAACCTAGCCTAACGTTCGTGCTTGACCCGGGACAGGAGACGTGTTCGTTGCTTACAGACAGTAGTTGTAGCTCGATGCACTGGGCACGGGAAAGAAACAGAGATGACGCGGAGGAGGAGGCACGCGAGAAGAGGTGGGTTAGACGGTACATTTGAGGAGCTCCCTAGCTTAGCGTTGAAGTCGCCCGTGTGGGTAAGAAGCAGGAAAGGGCGCAACGTGGTTTGGTGTCGAAGGATCCGCGATTGCCGGCCACCTTTCTGAGTTTCTCTCTTCTCACGTTCTCGTTCCCCCCACCATCAAATTAGGCTTTCACCCAATAGGCAAGGTTTATGAAACATGGGAATATCTGGATGCAGTCTGCCCGATGAAGAATCTGGATTCGCTTGACACTTTGGATTGCTTCGGTGAAACCAGGTCTCCGGCAGCGAGGAGGGAGAGACGAGGCAGCGAATCTTTTGTCCAGAAATGCTTGAAGTATATGGATAAGCAGGCGTCGCCGGTTCAAAACAGGACGCAACCGGACAAGGTGGTGGTGGGATAAGGAAGACGGAGCCGAATTCGGCCGACTGAAGATATATCACGTGTGATCCGCGTCGCGTCGCGCCCATAAGTGACAAATACAACCAAGCAAACGATCTTTTGGGCGCGGCCCTTGCTAATACTGTGCCGATCTACTGAGCCACGGGAAAGCTGCCTCTTGTATCAACAGAAATACAATTAGGTACTGGACGCGAAGAAGCACGGCTAATCTCGCAACCGGAAATCTGCTTCCTGCATCAACAGAAATACTACTAGGTACTGGACGCGAGGCACATATGGAACTAGCGACTGGAAATCTGCCTCTGCATCAACAGAAATACTGCTAGCGTACTGGGCGTGAGGGGGCACAATCGCAACTGGAATCTGCCTCCTGCATCGACAGAAATACTGCCAGCGTACTGGACGCGAGGCGCGGCTACACTACACAGAGCTATGGATACAAACGAGGGACTGTGAAATCAGAGGCGCAATCAAATAGTCTAGCGGTCAACGCATGAATCTCACGAGATAGTAAGTTTCCAGACGTCGGGTGCCCCACCGGTGGGCGCGATCCCTTGGAAGGTGGTGTACCCCATCAAGAAGTCCGCCCGCTTCACGCCTTCGCGTTTTTCTTGTGAGTAGCCGCTGTGCCCGCGCAGCCGCTCGCACCGTCGCATGTACTCTGTAGACGCACGCCGCATGAGTTTGTCGGTGCCCAGCGCGTTGAACTCTGCCGGCGTCGCGTTCACGCGCAGCGTGCAGTAAATGGCGGAGAGGACGTCGCCCACTGAGACGTATCGGCGATTTGATGCCGGGACGGGGATCGTCCAGGGTAGGTGTGGTGTGAAAAGGGAGAGGGAGAGCCGCGGAGGATAGACGGCGGGCTCGAGGAACGCCGCCGCGGAGGGGCCGGGGCGGTGGCTAGAAATGGTGGAGGGATGCAGGGAAACGTCGTATTGAAGGAGAGGAATCGGCGACAGGGCGATGAGATTGTGGGCCTGCACTTTCATCGCAGCTGATGTGCGGTAGAGGTCTTTCGGTGTTAATGGTGCGGCCACATACAGCGGCGGCGGCGTGAGCGGACCAAGCGAGGAGGTGGATGATGAGGGCGAGGATTCAATGAGTGGAGGGGGAGGCGGCGAGTAGAAGGTGTCCGTCGAGGCAAACCGGACGCGTCTTGAAGGCATGGCGCACTCGAGGGTGGGGCTGGCGGGTCAAAAAGTGGTAAGTTTAAATACTCGCACCGATGAGAGAATGCTCAGTCGTCACCATCTTATCTCATGGCTTCTTTGACCCATGCCATCCCATAAAAGGTTATATCCCGCGCCTAGCGCTCGACTGTATTGGACCGAAAATGACGACCACAGCTTGTTTGGAGCCGATCTTGCGAAATTGTGGAGGCCAATTCTAATGATAAAATGCTATGGCGCAAAACACGCAGCTGCCTTGAGGATAGCTCCTCCGTTAGCCTCGATGACGTATGAAAACCACCGATAACTCTCGGTCACAGGTCCACGAATTTGTGGAACCACCAGAAATAAACCCGGTGTCGGGGACGCTCCCTAGGTGCTCCAGATCGCTTGAGCCTCTCGCTCCCGCGTTGCACAGACTGGGTAATTTACTGTTGGTCGTTCCCTATTTCGACGTTCGCCTAGGTGCCGTCGATGCGAACCCAATGTAGCCAAGGCTTGTTGGCCGATGCCACGGGTGCAAATGCGGTCATATATCAGCGCCACTTTCAACCTTAAGCCGGATAGGATTGCCGTGAAGATAGAAGCAGGGTCTAAATTTGAGGGTTAACATACCGCTCTCACGATCTACATGCAGGGCATTGAATGTTAGCGCAAGCGGCTTGTCTAACGTTGAAAGAGCGGGCCTACCAAACCTGAATAATGATGTGTGCCAATTTAAAGACGATGGCGAAAGGAAGTATTGCCTGCCGCAGCGAGAAAAAAAAAGACGATTATGGGGAGGTGAGCGAGTCCACAGGTTCGCTTTACCTTGCAGTTCGACCACAATGCACCATCTACAGACCAAGACAGCGAAATGCGCGGAGATGTGGGACCTTGAATTAGACGGTGGTGCGGAAGTTGAGGTGCTATCTTCCCGCACCTATCACACACTCAGATGCACAGGTTATACACCTATTTCTGCACCAGTAGATGGGGCAGCGTGGTAGTAGCAACTCACCCGTCTCATCAATGTTTCACTCAAACCGTGGATTACTAGGACGTCTTGATAAACAGCTCGTATACATTTCTGTCGGGACGTCTAGAACTCTATACAATGTTGTCAGTACATCTCGCGCGCTCCGCACGCATATCACTTCTTCGTGGCGAGCAACGATCGCCCGTCATCTCTGCAATAACGAATCAGCAACGCAACAACTCAGATAGCACCACGAAACGTACCCTCAGGCTTGGGGATCCCCTGCCCGCCAGATCGATATCAGCTTGGTTCGCAATTCTGCCGGAAAAAGTAACGCACCAGCAGATCAAGCACCGTCGACGAGACGTCACACAGCGCGCCCTCCTCCGCGCGCTCATCGTCCGGAACGAGCGCGTAGCCCTCAGAGGCCGGGCCCGCGACGATGAACGGCACGGGGTTGCACGTGTGCGCGGTGTGCGGCGCGCCCGTGTCCGCGTTGCGCATCTGCTCCGCGTTGCCGTGGTCCGCGGTGACGAGCAGCACGTAGCCCGCGGCCTGGAAGGCATCGTACACGGTGCCCACGGCGGCGTCCATGTGCGTGATGGCGGACACCGCGGCGTCGAAGTTGTCGGTACGCCCAACCTGAGGAGCGGTGTCAGCGCCGAGGGGCGCACGGGCGGGCGGGAAATACGTACCATGGCGGGCGGGGTGAAGTGTAAGAAGGTTCGCTCGGCTCCATGACCGTGAAAAGCCTTCAAGGAAAGCAGGGTGATAGTACGAACCCAGCAGCCGGGCGTGGGGATAATAAAAGACCTTATCGCCGTAAAGTGCAATGTCAACGTGAACTTCTTG